AATACTCAAAAGTTTATTTTGAGTATTTCTCATACTGAAATCTCTGCAGAAGATCCTGTAGCCTTTATTTCTGGATTATGTGAATCAGAAGTTGGAAGTGTTGCAAGGATTTTGAATAAAAACGAATTGAAGTAGACAGCTACTTTAAATTACACTCTATAAAACAGAGTGCACAGCAGTGGCTCAGAGAGACTGGCTGAAAGAGTCACTACAGATTCAAGCAAAGGCAGTGTAGTGGTCAGCTGTCATTTCCCATGAATACAGCAAAACAAAGAGCAAAAGAGAAACAACCCTGAGGTTTAAATTCCTCTAGGAATTAGGACCTTGATTTTTCTAGTCTTCAGCTTATTACCTGCTGCCATCCACTGAGTTCTTTCACTGGTTCAATATTGACTCATGAGGAAGTAGGATATCCTCTGAGCTTCCTGCATCAGCAGGTTTGCACATGAGGGTTCACAAGCAATTACTGACACAGAACAGAGATGCTTGTGAAGCACCTCCTGGTGTTGCAGGATGGCTGCAGGTGAGCTGCAATTTTATCCTTCTGTGACTTATTCATGCTAATGCCGTGTTCCTAAGTGCTGGTTTGGGGTGGGGTGAGTTTCTTCACAGTGGCAGGTGTGGGGCTGTGTTGTGGGTTTGTGCTGAACACAGGGTTGATAACATAGAGATGTTTTTGTTATTGCTGAGCAGGGCTTACACAGAGCCAAGGTCTTCTCTGCTTTTTTACCCTCCACTCTGCCAGGGGAGTTGGAGGTGAATGGGAAGCTGGGAGGAGACGCAGCCAGGACAGGTGACCCAAACTGAGAGATGGGATAATCCAAACGATGTGACATCATGGACAGCGTATAAAGTGGAGGGTGGAACGAAGGGGGAAGATTTGGAGATTTTGTCTTCCTAAGTAACTGCTATGCACAATGGGCCCTGCTCTCTTGGAGATGGCTGAGCATCTGCCTGCCTATGGGAAGCAGTGAATTAATTCCTTGTTTGCTTTGCTTGTGTGCGTGGCTTTTTCTTTCCCTATTGAACTGTCGTTATCTCAACACATGCGTTTTCCATCTTTCACCCTTCCAATTCTTTCCTTTCACCAGTGGGGGAGTGAGTGAATGGCTGTGTGGGTTGCCAGCTGCGGTGAAACTATGACACTATGTGTTGGTTTTGAGCATCTCTGAATTTCATTGAGAGCTAAATTATTCTTGGGAAAAAGAAATCTCATTGAATTAAATAGAGATTATAACTCTGCTTAGAATTATTACTGGCTTTTTAGCACACGACAGAAATAGAGACAAGCCTCATTAATTTATAGCGAAAAGCACCACTTCCTTCTGAGATAACACTGTGGAGCAAGTATTTGAATGTGCAATTAATTACTTTTGTTCTGAGAGAGTAAAAAATGAGGTCATTTCTGTACTGCTCATCTTCATGTTTGTGTTTCATAGAGGATGAGGATTTTCTGTTCTAGTGGTTGCAATACAGTGGAGAGGTTTAGCTCAGCCCTTGCTTAGTTCTGTATATCCTAATAAAAGCCTCAGATTAATACAATTTTATCAAAACAACATGATGCCATAGTTCTTTCTATTGTAGCAATATCACACTTAACTATGTCACAAATGCTGATATTCTGATGCTGTGAGATCCAGTGTAGCAGTCATTGTAGTGAAGAATCATCTTTAAATTGCTTACCTTATCTTTTAGCAAGGTTTTCAGGTAGCATCATGTTAACATCATTATGTAGCTTCCAAAATGACCTCACTTACATACAGTGAGTTCAGGGTGTGGGCAGAACAGGGCCTTGGAAGGTCCTCTTTACTCTCCTCAGTGTCTGCAACGTGCCCAACCTTGCTGTTGATGCACAGCAGAGAAGGAGACTGAGTTAAGCTGCCTGAATATGGCCAAACTGTCACAAAGGGAATTAGGAATCATTTACTAGCACACTGTAAAACACCCAGACTTCCTATGTAAACAAGGCCAACTCTAGTTAAAAAAAAGGAATGAATGTTGCTTTTACTAGTAAGTTTGGCCATTCCTTCCTTTAATAGGCCAGTGATGCATTATTAACATAGCTGGATATTTTAAGCTGATCCATTCCTGAAAAAAGAAAAAGGAAATTATGATCTTGGTCTTGTAAAGCATAGCTTCACCCATATTCTCTCATACCTCAAGATGAATATCTTTCATATTCCCTGCTCATAGTTTTCAATTTCCCTTCTTTTGTTTGACTAATGAGAGAAGGTAACGCTTCAGTTAAGGCAAATTAATATTCCAATAGCTGAGAAGAAAGATGAATCAGTCCAGGATTTCTTACTGATGCATTTTTCTGCCTTTAGGTTTGGGAAGAGCTCTAGGTTTTAAAGTTTTAAGGAAAGCTGTTAGGAAAGACCCAACAATAGTGCAGGCAAAATTTAGCATCACATATACATAGAAAAATGTGACCATAAACTTCTCACACTGGTGTATTCCCCTGGTGTTTAGACCCTTCAAATACTTGTAGATATTACCATATTTTACCTTAGTCATCATTTGGCTGAGCTTAGACGTACTTAGGCCTTTTAGTGTTTCCTCGTAAATCACACTGCAACCCATGATTATTTTCATTGCTTGTATCTGAAGCTTTGCCAGTTTGATGACATCATTCTGGGACCAAGGTTTTATTCCAAATTTGAAGACAAAACTTAAGTCATTGCTGCTTCTATGGTCAGTCCCAAATCTAGAGCCCATGGTGCTTAAGAAGGGTATGGTGAAAGCTTCTAAGATGCAGGGACAGCAGCTGAAAATATATTACACTGGGGACAGACTGGCATTCTCAGAGAGAGTTCACACCAAAAGGAAAATGTTCCCTTCTACCAGAATTATTTTTGCATGTGGATAAAGCATTGCTGGTGTAAGAAACTGCTAATATGGAAGTCAGTTTGTTAGTCCTTGAGATGAGGGCATATGTGGAAAAAAATTAAAAGCAAAGAAACTCTCAAATTGGATGGATGTCGAAATAAGTGAGCTTATGCTTTCCCCATCTCAGTAATTTTGTCCCTGGGTTGGAAACTGTCACCTGCTTTTGGACCAGGCAGCACTAAATGAGACTTCTTGGAGGAGGAAAAAAATTGTGCTGTTATCAAACAAAACTTAGTTATAAAAGACAGAAAATGAGTGTATACAAAGAATGAAGGTGGTGTCATCTGGGCACAGGCAGAGGAGCACAGTGCACAGCTAATTCGTTCTGGCTTGGAGAGCTGTGTGTGGATAGAAGGCTCACTAAGCCTGAGGGCAAAGCAAAAGGATAAATGGCAAAGTACAACATTGGGGAGGGAAGGGGGAATTGCACAGCTGGTACTGAGATCTTTGGCAAGCTTCATTAGGAGGGGAAGATGTAGCAAATGTTTGGCACTCTGAAGGAAAGGGGTGATTTAGGGCTCCTTGAGTTTTCCTCCACTGACCTCTCAGATCTAATGAGACCACAGCAGTTTCTCGTAATACATGGTGTAAATTACCTCAGGAAAAGAAAAATGGTGAAAAAATAGTCCTTTTAAAGTTTTATGCAATTTTCTATGTTTTGGAAGATTGGCAAAGTAGCTTTACCTGCAAGGGTATATAGACTTTCTCTTTTTCCGAGTAAGAATTACAGTTTGCCACTGCTTTCTCCTGAGTGAGGTGATGTCTCAAGTGTCCACAACCTAGAAAGTAAAATAAAATAAAATAAAATATTATACACTTTGCTCATCCAGACTTCTTTTTCAATCCTACAGCCTACAGACATGTTCCTTGCTGTAGGGAGTTGCTAAAGTTAAACTTGTATTTGTCCACTGGATTAACAGGAAAATATTGTAAAAAAAACAATGCAGGGAGAAGTTACTTTTTCTTTCTGAGCCCAGTAGAATTAAATTCTGTCAGTGAGAGATTGTTTCTAAAATACATTGTCAGGTGTTGCTCATTTTCATGTGAAAAATGATCCCCTTTGCTAAATATGTATGGTGTGTTTGTTCCATGCTATGAGCAGCACTTATGGTGGGTTGCTGTCATTTATCAAATGAAAAGTGAAGGCTCAGTTCCAAGATCTTAGTCACTGTTGTTCTGAATATGTGGAATCTTAAGGGAAAAAAACAAGTCCTGTTAAAAAAAAAAAAACAAAAACAAACAAGTCTGTCCTTTCTTAAGAAACAAGAACCCATGATAACCATTCAAAGTAATTATATATAATGACTTCTTACAAACAATTTCTTTAGTTTTCTTGAGTAAATTACATTACGAAGATGAAGTCATTGTTATAAAGGGCAAGTGAAAGTTTACTGAATTCATTCACATATTTATCTTTTCTGCATTTTCTGAGTGGATGATAATAATTGCTAGGGAATTGTTATCCTACCTCCTTCCAATTCTTTATGTTGGATTTCTTCCCTTTTTCTCGATCTCTTTTTTATTTTTTTTTATTAAAGCATGAAAACATCAAATAGAAGCGTATTTCTTGACATTTAAAAACCCCCTACTTTATCCAGCCTGAGCTTCTGACTAGAGTCTCTCCCCATGGATAAGCACATTTTGGATTTCAGAATTTAGCAGTATGCTCTCTCCTTTGTTTCAAGGTTGCTATTAGTGGACCAGTGTGGTGTCCAGTGCTTTCGTTAAAGATCAAGGCAAAACAAATCAAAGTCTAAAATTACATTGTTATCAATCTCTTTTAAGTCCTGGAATAACTTGAATTTGTCTCAGTGTGCTCTGTCATCAGGCACCCTGGATAAACATACTTTTTCCCAAAAACCATGGCTTCTGTTCAGTTAGAACTATATTGAAAAGGTTACTTTTTTTCAAAAGTTACTATTGCCATCAATAATTTAATTTCCCAGCTACTATTAGCTCATTTGGTTTCAATGCAGTCTTTTCCAGAAAAAAATCTGGATTTTAAATGCAAACCCTAATGCATTATTTTGTGGTGTGTTTTAAAACTTAGGGCAGAAATATTCATGTGCACAGACAAGCTTAATGATATCTTTTATATTTTCATTTTCAAGAGGCATTTATCCCCTGAAGAGTTCCAGGAAGTCTTCAAAATGAGTATTGAGGAATTTGATCGTCTGGCACTTTGGAAGCGGAATGACCTGAAGAAAAAGGCCCTGCTTTTCTAAACCCTCCCGGATAAAATATGTGCTTAATCAAAACAAAAATAGTCTTGCCAGAACTATCACATGCACTTGCTGTTGAACCATTGTCCAGCTTCATTGTGTTAGTATGTGTCGGGGAAACAAGACAGATTAGATGGTAATGTGTTGGGATACCGAGAATTTGCTAATCTTGCATTTCCAGCTGGTTTTGTCAGTAACTCCTGGTCCTACCCAGTTTACAATGTGCAAAAAATCTAGCTTTAAATTTATTGTTGCTTGCATTTGTTGCTTGATGCAAATGGAAATTCTGAAAGGAAGAGAAAAAAGTGTAGCTGTACACAGGAAATGCATCCAACATTTTGTTCCATTCAGTTTTATAATGCAATTTTTACTAAATCAAGTAAGTAATTTTCCAGCGGGGGATCAGATGCTATTAAAATTATGGTAAAAGCCAAAGAAAAGCATATCCGCAAGCAGTTATTGCAGTTGTTTATCTGTGGTACTTTTTAAGAATGAAAGCAGAAATATGGAAGCACCTTAATTCTACTTCTTATATTTAAACACAGTGTACTCTTTAAAAGATCATATTTGTCTAGAAGGTAACTAGCTATCTTTAATTACAACACCAGAGTTTTTATTTTATTAAGAATATATTGTGACATAAAACAATTATAATTACTAAAATGTATACAGACCTACTAAGATTTAGTTCCATTCATCAGGAAAACTGAAGCCTTATACAAAACTGGTTGAAGAGTGTATTGTGCCAGTTGACTGTGTTTTCCTACTAGCTTGGGGTGTTTGAAGAATGTTTTTTTTACATTTCATGCTGATAAAATACCATGTAATCTTAATTACTATGTAGATAGATATATCTATCTATAAAAGAATTATTTTCATTAATATATGTCCTGAGTGAAGGCATTCTTACTTTCTCAACTTTCCAGCTTTATACAGTAAGCCCTGAGAACTGTGATGGCATTTGGTGGATGTGGAAATGGAACAGTTCAGCATAAAATGTAACAAAAAAAGCTTGGTGTGCTCTATCAATAATACAGACAATTAGAATCAAATCCATGAAACCCTCATGCATTACTATTTGCATGTTTCTGTACAAGTCAATTTGAAAAAAACCAAACTATGTGATACTGGTGCAGTACCTTGAAACTATCTTAAATAACAAGCAAAGCTAACAAAATCTAAGCATTTGATATAAGTGTTAGACCTTAATATCTCTTCCAGCTGAAAGACTGTATTAAATTTAATAGTTTCATTTGGTCAGAGGTATGGTTGCTGACAAAGAATGTTTTAAAGTGAGTTGTTAGTTTTTTGTGATACTAAATGAGCATTACAAAAAGTACATTTTTCAGCCATGTGTCAGTATTCTGCATTTTTACTGCCTTGGATGTTTGTACTCACCTCCTACTTCACTATGTCTTTTTGCATTTCCTTAAGGTAACTGGTTAATATATGCACTACAACACACTATTTCAACTGACCCAGCATTGGAAAAATCATAGCATTGAACATGCCTTCTTCCAACTAACTTTCAAAGTCCATGCTGTTGGAAATAAATATTTTCTCATTACCTAAATGTTTTGTCTGATGATAAAAATGTTTAAAAAAATTCATTAAAACAAAGACATAACTGAATGACTTTGCTAATGTGTGTATAATTTTTTTAGATCATAGTGCTGCTCTGGATAGGGTCTTCCCATTATATTAATGTAAATAATATCTAATTTGCATTAAATTTGCTCACTGAGAAGAGCGTTGAATGTACCTCTGAATGTCAAGTTATTGTAAAATCTTGATTTAAACATTCTTTCAAGCAGCTGTCATGTCTCAGCAAGCAAAGTTGCTTTGCTGGTGATATACAGAACCACCAGCCTGTGTGGAGAACCATTAGCCAGTTTCAAAGGAGAGCTCCCAGCTGTGTGTAGACCCCATCCATGATGCTCTTCAACCTCAGAGTAGCTTGTTGCATTGTTTTGAGAAAACTGGCAGCCCATTGAAATGGGCCAATCCAAAATGTGACCAGCAGGGTCCATTGCAACTAAGAAAAACTAAATCCAGGAGAATAATTGATTGGAGAACAGTTATGAGGAAGTTTGACGTTGCCGATCTTCTCATCCACATGTTCCTGGGACATAATATTGGTTACAGGCATTTTCTCAGTGATTAAGAAAATCTCAGGTTGATCAAAGAAATCCATGTATCAGTGCAGATCAGGTTCAGTATGGATTTTCATAAATAATTTGAAAATTTCTTAACCACAGCAGCTTTTGTACTGGTGTAAGATTCAACCTATGCTGTAAGGGGAAAAGCACATTACTGAGCAGCACAGGCAATCAACAGCTCTGTGCTGCTCTACTGTTTTATGCACCAGCAGATGTGTGGGCTGATTACAAGTGAGGATGCTGAGCTCATGTGAGCTGTTTGACCCATTTACACTGTTTTGAGACAGTTCATCTCCTATAATGTCAACCCTTAAAAGTGTCTCTTGAAGGTCCTTGTCCTGCCTGAGCTAAATCAGGTACAACTTTTGTTTTACATACCTCCATCTAGACTTTTTAGCTCACAAGCATCAGTTCTTACCACAAGGCCCAACTCTTATCAGGAGTTGTACCCCTTCCTCTTTCTATATTTGCAGACAAATTCCTTTATCATTCTAAGCTTCCTTTTATGGTCAGTGAGGAGAAAAAAAGCTCTTCATTCACATCCTAATGTTCAAAATGCAAGATGAATTGCCCCTATCATATTCCTGTCCACTGAATATAAAGAAAAGCAATCCCTCTGCAGAAGAACACACTGCAGGCTACCTAATCTTGGATTAAATCAATTCTATGCCTACAGTCTACTGGGGGACATAAGCCAGTTTTTACCAATTGGTAGAATACCAATCTTAAAACCGCTGGCAGTTCCTAGACCATGTTACCAAATCACTCTCAAGCATTCAGGAAAGTACTTTGAGTTGCACAGATCTCACAAAACTCCTGAACACAGTAATTTTTTGTGCTCATTATACTATTCACTAAACAGGCATGCATTCAATGCCAAACACGCAAAAATGTTTTAGAAGACAGTCAGTTTATCAACATACATTCCTACTACCAGCCAAAACCAAAATGGAATTTTGGCTTCCATACACAAAACCTTTGCTGACTTTAGATGAAGAAGTACTCTTGTGTGTCCTTATTTCATTTCCATGAAAGTTTGAAATGGTCTGTAGATGTCTGTTCTGTGCAAAGGTGGCACAGCTCAGTAAGCTGTTTGTGTTTTCACATGATGCATGCCAGTGCATCACTCCATATTTAAAGCATCTACTGTCATATGGTGCTGACCTATTCAGTTATGCTCTCTAGCCTAACTAAATTCACATTTACAGCATGATATTGTGTGCTGGATTTGGCACCAGCTAAATATACCAGTGTAAAAGGACCATAAAGTGAGTAGCATTGTGATTTACTTCACTGCTAAGTTGTCTGTACATCACCTAAACTCCATAAACCATGGTATACCAGAGAGTGCAAGATTCCCGTTTCCAATATCTGTCATGTTTTAAAAATTGCAAAATTGGAATTTCAGGCACGTTGTTTTCTTTTAGGAATTTTGAGTGTCTAATTAAATGTGGATAGACTGATATGTGGGTAGTAAATATTCAGGTTTATTTTAATAAGGTTCCATATGCTAATCTTATGTAGTATTATGAAATGGAAAAGGCATTCAGAGTAATGAGATAAGACTTTGCCAGAATGTTCCATCTGATAGTGTGGTCTGGTGTTGGCAGTAAAAAAACGAGTCTCAACAAATCATAGGCTGTTTTCAGATAATGCTCTTTAGAGTTATTAAGTGTTCTATATTCTTGTTTTCAAGGACATGCTGCCTTTCAGCATTTTCATAAGTATGGATATGGCTATACAGCTCAAAAGAGAAGTTTCTCTCTTTGAGAAACTTATTTTGATATGTATACAAGAAGCAGGAGAATTCTGTCAGAGATTTCATTTTCATTCTTGGATCTGAGCTGTATGTCTCAGCTGCTCATGTCAGCCCTATGTATGACCTAATTCTCACCTCATGTATTTTAAAGAAGACATGTCTCAAACTCAGCAATGAAAGAGACAGCATTTCATTATCACAGTCTTTGAGACAGAGGAATATGTGGGGTTTTGTGGTTGCTGAAGGAATATCTGACCAACAATTCCAGCTAGGAAACCAGGCATGCGAGGTTACCATTATAGCTGTCTGGGAAGGCTGGACATTTTTGTCTGACCTTCTGCTATTTCTTTTCCTCATGGTTCAGGGGAGAACTCTGAAACCTGTAATTGCAGAAACAAGAAAATACATAGTTGTGAGACGGTACCTGGAATCTAATAACCCTCTGAGACAAGGCTAATTTTACATGGGCAAGAAAGTTACAGTTCAGATCAAGAGAGATGCCTGGTGTTACATTCCACATTTTGATTTGGGGAAGCCATCTATTCAACATTTCCAAGTGTGACCAAGACAGACCAATTATTTTACTAACCTTTTCACATATCTGCAGGAAAATGCTGTTCTGTTATTTGCAGATGAACTGGATGAGATCCCAGGCACTTCTGTCTGGCACTCAACTCTGGTGCATAAGCGTCAGAGCATCCTTATATTCATATTCTCCTGCCCTTTTGATTTGTGTGTGGGAAAAAGGACAGGATCACTTTATAAGCTTCCCAAGACCTCAACTGACCTTTGACCAATGTGATTACTTGATAGGTCACAGCTGTGGCTACTATTTTTCATATATCTTGAGTATTAAAAAAAAAAAAAAAAAAAAGATGGCTGTTATTAATATCAGAATGACAGCTGTGACTCTCTTGTATATGTAAATTTATACTGGAAGCTTGCATCCTTTTGTTATATCCAGGCCTCCTCTGTGGTATGGCTAAATCCTTAAAAGCTCATAGGAGGTGCTGGCTCAGGCTTTTTGAGTCTTTGTATCCCTTCTCACTTTTTCTAGCCTGTGAAAAGCCGTGTTAGAAAAGGTACTAAGTAAAAGCACATGGCCATGAAAAGCAAGATCTCAGTAGAACTGGCAGGTGAAACACCCACAGCAAATCGCAGTTTGTTGTTATTGCAGCAGGTTGTTACTCCCTCCTCACAACCACCATCTCTGTGAGTTACAGCTACAAGTTAGATCTAAATGCTGCTGCTTTCCGGGATTTAGGACATTTTCTTCCTTCCCCTTGGTGTTTGACATCTGTGCCCACAGGTAGGTGTAAGCAGGTAGGTCCGTGTTTGTAATGGACAGACGTCTGCAGCAGCCGGGCTGTTGGCACAGCCAGTCCTTCCCTGCCAGCCTGGACAAGCAGCAGCTCCAGAGGGATCAGGAGGAAACCAAAACCAGGCAAAAGCTTCGTGTCCCACACAGGTAAATGTATCACAATTCGGGCATGAGTATCCCAGCTATTACATATTTGCCTTTTGTTACAAGTCTGGATAGCGTTGATTTCTGGTTTTGAATCTGGTTACATTTGTGTCATGGATGATTTGCTGTCGATATGTTTTGTCCATTTGCTATGATACATTCTTTTATTACATCCTCTACCTTGTCTCTCCACTAATATATGCAATGATTTTATTTCTTTTGAGATTAAAACCTTTCTTTGCCCTTGATAGTTCTTCAAATTTCTCTCAGCCCATTGTACCTTGTGTTCTAGAATGGTCTGACAGAATAAAAGCTTCCTATTTCCCATGATATATCAAGCACTATAATTTTTTTTTTTTTTTGGGGGGGGGGGGGGGGGTGTGGAGAAGAAGAAAACTGAGAATGTCTTTGACTTTTTTTGTTACTAATCTACATTATGTCGATGCCTTGCTTGACCTAACCTCACACCTCACTCTTGCAAATTGCTGGGGTTTTTTTTCCATTCAAGTGGACATGATTCTGAACTCTGACATGAGTCATTATTTCTACTACTATAAATTTTTTTCTATTAACTGATAATTAAGAAAGCACCATGATTGATAGCAAATTAAACACCTGAGGTTGTTAATGATCTGCCTGAACTTCCTTTCAGTTCTCTGACCTGGAATAATTCATTTGTGTAACAGGGTTAAAACTGTTCATGCCACTTGATAAGTCTGCTAGTCAGACTTAAAAGAAAATGCTCTCAAGTTACAGATATGGAGCAGAAACACTTTGAGCTCTCAATTTTTTTCCCAATTTTATATAGATATTTTTTGACAAATGGCAGTGCCAGGAGGACTGTATGAGTTGCTGTATAAAGATCAAATTCTTCAAATTGCATTTTTTTGTCTTAATCCCTTTTTTTGGGTATGATAACTGATTATAGTGCAATAAAAATAATGTAGTAATCAAAGACTACTGAAATAATCTACTCCATTTTAAATGGCACAGGAGACAAGATAAATGCAGAATAGAAGTTAAAATTTATCTTTCAATAAGATCCCATTTTTGGCCCAATGTTGCTTGCATTCAAAGAAAACCAGGCCAAGGAGGCAAGAATTAGAGGAAATCTTGCCCTACTGTATTCAACTTTAATATAAAATTTAAATTTATAAGCAGTAAAATTACAAGAATAGGAATTTTTTTTCAAGTTACTAATACCCAAAGGCAGAGCTACTTTTCAGTGATTCTGAGGGTTTAATATGCA